CTGTCGTGGGAGAGAGGTGAGGCCCGGTACCTGAGGATAGATCGATGTCGGGGACAAAGGGGAAGATCGGGACTACCAGAAAAGATTCGGATCTCGCAGGTGGGTGGAAACCAGGGAAAAGCTAACACCGGCAGTTTGGCCCTTGTGAATCGGACACTTCGATTCCCTTGGAATCTGGGAATAAGATTTCAGGAATATCTTGGCAGTCTTGGGAACAATGGTCTTGAAGATTCGGAGAGTGCAGCTACTGTTGCTAGGCAATGTTTTAGAGTACTTTTGACTATCTTCAATTTTGAATTATGAACTCGTGATGGGAAGGTTAAGGATTTTAACCCCTTGCTACTACTGGCGCCTAAGGGCGCTGGAAAAACTTCCAGTTGACACTCATAGCCAATATTATTGACAATAATTGACAATAATTCAAGAGTTACATCCTCCGTTAGTCATATATTATATGAAAGTGATTGTTCTAGTATAATTCTACTATAATTGTTTATAATTATAATTCTACTATAGCCGAAGGGTTAATTACTATCACGAATATCCGAAGAGACCAACAAAAACAATCTTTATAAGATTACATATAATTCTCTAGTATAATTAACCCTTTGCAACATGTCGGCATTTTGCTAAGATCGAACTACCACGTTTGGAATATCGAGTTGCGAACAAATGATCTGACTATTCGAATAGCAATGAATCAGTACACAGTTTCCTTATCCTCTATGATTTAAGCATTCAGTGTTTAATTTAGCAAATTCTGCAAAAGGTTTTTTGTAACAACTCCAGGAGTGCAAAGGGTTAACTCGGCGAGATGAAACGTTCATATTCGGAAGACCGAGTCGCAGACAAATGATTTCATCACTCAAACAGTAAGAGGTTAATGTGTAGTTTCTGTTCTCGCTATTATTTAAGCAATTAATACATAATTTAGCTTCATCCGTCGAATATCCGTTTTCTACATTTCAAAGAATCTTCGTCCGCGAAGGGTTAAAGTACGCGAAGCTTGCATATGAAGCTAAATTACACATCGAACGCTTAAAACACAGTAAAAAGGGGAACCATACACCGATCACTTGCTAAAGTAATTAAATCATTCGTTTGCAACGTGGTATTCCAAATACGTCTAATACACGTGTTCCAGATACATCTGTTGATGGTTTTCATTTCAAAGAATCTTCGTCCGCGAAGGGTTAAATCGTTCCCCGAGTGATTCCCGACGCCGTGAAACATCGAATCATTCTGAACGACCGTCGCCGCTGGTGGAGACATTTTTCGGTCGCCGGCGTGTGGAGATCGCCTGTTCCTGGAACGACCGGGCTGGATCGCGACCGTTGGATCGGATTCCGGGAGAGCTGGTTAGGGGTGAGAGGAAAAAGCGTTTCGGTCGGGCCGCGTGTGGTGGAAGGGCGAGGGACAGGTGTCCGGCGAGGGTGCA